TACATGTTTTTTCCTTAATTTTGCCTCTCCATTTTTTTCATTTTTATACCTTTATCCTTATAGTTATAATTTATTTGATACGGTCTTATAGAACCTAGGTCAATTTATACGAAATTTCCTTTTGTGTTCACCATATTCATATTCGCCAATCTGTCTGGTCCGCTGGTGTACACGATAGTTTTCAAATGGAGTCCAAACTTGACACATTTTTACTAAACTTAGATCAAGTCAGGAGATGGGCAATATCGTCCACTCCTTCTCCACACAAAAGCTCAAAATGCTATTTGAAATAAGTTCATATATGACAAATGTTAAGATTAAAATAAGAAAAAGGTCAGATTTGTGGTTATTGGCCATGACGACCCTGAAAAACAATCCTTAAAAGACAAAATTCTTAGTGCTGTGATTGGATCCGCGATAATAATAGGAATACTGATTTTTGGACTGAATATTACTCAAAATGCCCAAATTGTTCAGTTTGACAAACCATTTAGTACGCAATTTTAAAACAATCTTTCTATCTCAACCTCACATACCCCTTTAATGTTCCCCATTATCAAATTAAGTACCATTTAGCACAATTACAGGACGAAAATTCAAAATCAGCTCCATCTCTCAACCACAGACACCAACAGTGACATCCATATCAAATATCACGATTTCAGCTCTGTATTTTCACCCATTACCAAATTCAGGAACATTTGGTAGGCAAACAACTACACTTCTACATTCTAGACACCATTTCAGCTCTTTATATTCACTCAATGTCTAATTTAGTAACATTTGGTACTTTTCGTATAATTTGAGTACTCATTTGCAAAATCGTTCTAAGATTTCACCTCTTTCCCTTCATCCAATACCAAATTAAGTTCCATTTAGTAATTTTCGAACAACTGTAGTACATAATATTTTCATAACCACCTCCATATCTCAATTCCAGATACCAACAGAGATCTCAATATCAAATTTCGAGATTCCAGCCCTATCCCTCCAACCAATACCAAATTTAAGACCAATACCAAAACCACCTTCACATGAAATCACAGCGACATATATATCAAATTTCAAATCTATTCCTTCATTCAATACCAAATTTAGTACTATTGAGTACTTTTCGTACAATTATAGTACAAATTTCCAAAACCACCTACATATCTCAATTCCAGATACTAACAGAAACCTCAATTCCAGATTTGAGGATTCCTGCCCCAATCCTTCAGCCATTTACTTCTTTTCGTAGCATTTACTTCTTTTCGTACAGTGAAGATACGAATTTTCCAAACAATCTGCACATCTCAACCTCAAATACCAACAATTATCTAAATAACGAATTTTAGAAATTTATCTCTATTCCTTCACACAATATAAAATTTAGTTCTTTTCATACAATCATAGCACTAACAGAGACCTCAGTACCAAATTCCTGACCTATCCCTTCACCAAATATCCAATTTATTACCATTTAGTACTTTTCGCACAAATATAGGACCCAATTACAAACCACCGCCAAATTTCAAGCACAGATACCAACAGTTTTCTAAATAACTAATTTCAGAATTTTATCTTTATCCCTTCAACTAAGACCAAATGTAGTACCATTTAGTACTTTTCGTAAAATAATAGTACACATTTCCGAAAACACCTCCATATGTCCTGACTATACATGAACGTGTCAATGTTCGTGCCAAATTTAATTTCGTACCCAAATTCAGATTTCAAGTACTATCTGTTCACCCAATACTAAATAGTATCAAATATAGTACTATTTAGTACATTTCGTCCACTTGTAGTACACATTTTAAATACCACCTCGTTATCACCAACCTACCACCAAACTATGGGCCCCAATACAAAACTTCAAAATTCCAGCTTCATCCATTCACCGTAAACTCAACTGTTCCAAATTTAGTACCGTTCAGCACAGTTCGCACACTTAGTACACATTTCTAAAATATATTTGTAAACGCATCCCTTCATTTTAAACCATATATATTAACTTTGTCATACCGGTTGTTACCATGGTACAATGAATAGGTAAGGTAGAGCTATCAGCTGATTACAATTTTTTTCTAAGTGTGCCCGACTTCTGCCAATTTTGTGTATGTATTTGTTGTTTTGAAAAATAAAAACAAAATATTTTCAAAATCAATGATTGGAAGAAACTTAAATTGCGGGACGCGCATTAATAACATTTACCAGATTTGCATGGAATTGAAAGACTGAACAATTAGGATCATATTTTTAAGAGGACATCCGGGTATTTCATTCATCTTTTGCGCTTCTTGACTCATTTTAAAAATGGACAAAAAATATCAAATAAATGAAAAAAACTTTTTGATATAATTTTGAATAATTCTGAAATGAAGCGGACATAGACTCAGGGCTGTATTTCTGTTGTTTTCCGAAGCTGTTCTACCTCCTTATTGTACCATGGTTGTTACATACCTAAATATTCGTCTGACATTGTATTGTATCTAGGATGGTTGGTATTGAAAATGAGATATATCGGTACACGTTTTGGAATAGCCGCCACATATCGATACCTCCCAATATTCGGTATTTTGATGATTTTTGCCACATTTTTTTAAGGATTTTTCTAAAAATTGGTATTTGTAGTTCGTAACGAGTGCTTGATCCGATGTCGGAAGATAGTATATATAGTATATATAGGTTTGGAAATGCCCCCCTATATCGGTACCTCCCAATATTCGGTATTTTCATAATTTTTGCCACACTTCCCCACGGATTTGTCAAAAAATTGGTATTTGTTGTCCGAAATGAGTTCTGGCTCCGGTGGCAGAACATGGTATATATTGGTCTACGTTTTGGAATAGCCCCCACATAATGGTACTTCCGGATATTCAGTATTTTGACGATTTTGTAGATTTGTATTTGTAGGTCATAATGGATGGTGGCAGAACATTGCATATTTAGGTCCACTGTTTCATATAGCGTACATATAACGATGCCCACCAATATTCGGTATTTTAATAATCCTTAAAATTCAAATTTGGTATTTAAGATGATATGGTAGATTACAATCCTTGAAATATAAAATTGTCTATAGAGGTTCCTGTTTTGGTATGGCCCCCATATAAACGCCCCACCCACTTTATGGTATTTTGGAAAGTTTATCAGCATTATCCAAACGGTCTTACTGGTATTTGTAGTTTAAAGTGGAACACGTTTAAATTCAGATGCTTTTATATAAATATGTTTCTTTTTCCCAATGGCGGGGGGTATGAAAAGTTCAGCCCGGCAGAACTTAATGTTTTTATACACTCCACCATACATAGTATGGAAGGTACATTAAGTTCGTCATTCCGTTTGAAACTCGTTGAAATAATAATTTTGGATCCAACAAAGTATATCTATTCTTGATCAGCGTAAAATTCTAAGACAATTTAACCCTGTCCATCCGTCCGCCCGTCTGCCCTTCTGTTGTAATCACGCTATAGTCAAAACAAATTGAGATAGGAATCTAAAATTTTGCACAGGTCTCTCTTTTGTCTGCAGGCAGTTCAAATTCGAAGATGGACTATATCGGCCCACGATATGTATATTCGCCACGGCACCTCTCGATATTCGATATTTTTATGAATTTTGCCACATTTTTCAACAGAATTATCTGAAAGTTCTCACCAGGAGTTCTTTGTGAGTAATTTATTCCTTAGAAAAGAATTGTCTGTATAGGCCCACGATATCGTATGCACCCATGTAACGGTACCCCCGATATTCGGTATTTTGATGATTTTAGCGACATTGTTTACCGGAATCGTTCCAAATTTGGTATTTGAAGTTCGTAATAGATACTGCAGCATAAAACAGAAAATGGGCCATGTAGGTCCACGTCTTCATATAGCCCCCATATACCGTACCCCCCAATATTCGGCATTTTGATGATTTTAGCGACACTATTTACCGGGATTGTTTCAAATTTCGCATGTGAAGTTCGTAATGGATATTTCAGCCCATGCTAGAAAATTGTCTGTGCAGGTCCACGTCTACGTATAGCCCCCATATAACGGTACCCCCATATTCGGAATTTTGATGATTTTAGCTACATTATAAACAGATTTTTCTTCAAGTTTCGCATGTAAATATTGTAATAACTTATGAAAAAAGTTGCCTATGCAGGTCCACGTCGTCGTATAAGCATTCGGTATTTTTAAGGTTTTAACAGAATTCTTAACGGATTTTATTATTATTATTATTTTTTTTTTTTTTTTTGGGAAATTGCCAAATTTGTACCAAATGGTGGAGGGTATTAAAAGTTCGGTCCGGCCGAACTTACAGCTTTTTTACTTGTTTTCATTAAAATTGCACATTTTTAGGTCCACCCTTATTAACCTCCCACAAAGGGACTTTCGAAAACGCCCCACACCTCGTAGCCCTCATTTGCGTAGCCATTTCAATTTTGTCAAGATATCAGTTGCATTCCTCGAATGGCGCATTTGCTTATTCCTTAAAATTTCTCGAGGTGCTTTCTCGTGGTTTCGATAGGCTTACTTTGATTTCGTAGATTCATTTTCCCTTTATTCCCTAAAAACAAATAAAATAATTGGCACACTTATTGCCGAAAATGACAATTTACCTATCTGATGAAAGTATCGGATTCTCTTTCCACACACACAGACAGACAAACATGTGTTTGATTTTCTTTTGCATTCGAAATAATTAGACAAATAAGACCAACATGAACATCATCAATATGCCAGAGCGAAAAAAAAATTAACATTTATTTCTTCATTCTTCTTTTTTTGCTGTTTTTTTTTTTTCTTCTGCGGCGAGACGAAAAACCTCAAAAGCAAAAGATATCCGATACCCTTGTGTTGTAGGCAAAAGAACGGTTTTTTTGTTTTGCTGTTTCTTTCTTGGCTTTGGTGATTTCCACAATTTGGCCTGGTGTTGCTGTCGTATCTTTTGGACAGGTGATGGCGGTGCTAACAATAATGGTGGCAAAGTTGCTCCGGTATCGGATGACAATTGCCCAACTTGGTGCTGCTGTGCTACAATAGAGGGCCTAGTAAATTATTATTGGGCAAATATTAAATTTCACATTTGATTAAGATTTGCAAATTTTGTATATAAAGCCCTCGGCTTCACTGGAAAGGTATGTTAGTTTTCAATCAAACTGTTAACCAGCAACTACCAAGCGTTTTCAACAATCCTCCATCAAGATGTTTAAGATTGTGAGTACAGTGCGAGTGACAAATTTGGATTAAAGGAAAATTGTAATATTTTTTTTTTATTTTCCATTTTTCAGTTCTTCTTTTTGTCCTTCTTGGCTATGGCTTTGGCTAGACCCGGCTACATCAGCTCCCACCCAGTGGTATCTTCCTACCATGCCGCCCCTGCCGTGCATGTGGCCCATCCCGTGATTTCAACTCATCACATCTCCACTCCCTTGATCCATCATGGCAGCTATCTCCATGGAGGCTATCACGGTGGCATCCATGGCTTGTACTAAACTTTGGACTAATTGTTTGTTGAACATTTCGATTTGTCTCTTCGATAATTTGGCTAAAACAAAAATCTTTTGAATAAAAAACCCAAACCTTTTCGCATTGTTCCCATATTGACTTAAAAAAAAAACTTTTGTTTTCTTTTTCAATTCTTGGAAAATTCTTTAGCTGTTGTCACACCTTGAGAATGTACGGGATTTTTCCTGGATGTCACGCTACTCTTGAGTAACCTGGAAGAAAAGTTTCTTCCGGTGAAACTTTGTTCGCATCGCACGCACCACGTGCTATGTGTGACTCTCTCTGTTTCACGCGGTTTTATCACGTTTAAAATACTCTCACTTGTTTTGATGTTCGCCATCACATCGAACTGTTAAGCTGTCATTTTGCAACAACTCAAAAGTGTTGGAAAGTTTTCTTGACGCATTCCCTTTTCTAGTATTTCCTTTGAGCATCAAGGAACGCCATCATCAGCAATGCTGTGTTTGAAAAATAAAAAAATTCATCAAAATGGAAAATTTTTGTACAAGAAACTATAAGCTTTTAGGAAGAGAATAAGCTATTCGGATAAAAAAATTAGGAAAAAGTGCTTACACATGGAGATCAGACCTTTGGTTGAAAAAACATGGCAGAGAAAGTGTTCATTAATTTTTCGTTCACAACCAACACATCGACTTTTTGGCGTACATATTTTGTTCAAAATGGCTTAAAGTCGATTTTCGATTACTTTAAGAAATTCAAAGTTAAGAAAAAAATTTAATTATTTTTTATTTGTTTATACTATTATATTCTTGGCATTTGAATTCTGAAATTATTTTTTAACATTACAAAACTTCTGGTTTATTTGTAAAAACTTGATTTTCACACAATACAGGGTGAGATAAAAAAACTGCAACACAGCCAAATGCCATAATTTTTAAATTGTTTTTAATTTATTCAATCAATCAAACAATCAAAAAATTTCGGAAATAGCATTAAATTTTAGAATAAGTTTAGATTTGTTCGAATTGGTGACCTTTGGCACGAATGATGGTCTTCAAACGGCCAATGAAACCGTCACACGCTGCCCGAATGTTACTCTGCGGTATTTTGGCCCATTTCCGGCGAAGCGCTTGCTTGAGGTGATCGACACTTAAGCATTTTTTAGTGGATTGGAATTCGTAGATTTTGAGGGTCATTGTGCGTTAGAAATGAATCGAGAAATCTCATTTTGTAACCTATCTTGGGTGGCGCGTGCTGAGTCCAAGGTCTGCGGCGAAAATGTTTGCGTTCCCAAGGCTTTAATACACGCTCCAGAATATTTTCGCAATAATATTCGGCATTTATTCCGATGCCACGGTCGATTAATACGAGCGGAGAGCGACCATCGGTTGTTATGGCGGCCCACACCATCACCATGGCCGGCGCTTGAGTTCTGGTGGCCAACCGAAGGTGCACATTTTCCGCTGATCTCTTTGGTAAGTAAACACGATCATTTTGTTTCTTTACAAACTGCTGGACAACGAATGTTTTCTCATCGGAGAAAACCAAATTCGGCAGTTCACCACTTCCAGCCAAGCGACGCAACTCTTTAGCTCTTTAGAGACTATTTTCTTTCTGTTGCGGTGTAAGTTCTTGCACTTTTTGAAATTTCAATGGCTTTACCCTGAGCTAATTTTTCAATATTTGCCGAATGGAATATTGCGATATGTTCAGCTTACAAACCATTTTTCGGCCACTGCGACGCGGGTTTCGATCAAGTCGCTTCTTTACTTTTCGAACCATTTCTGCAGATGTTGCTGCTTTCTTCCGTCCACTTCCTAGACGTCGGGCTACGCTACCAGTATCACGGTAACGAGCGATGGTACGAGACACAAACGATTTATTCACATTTAAATGCTGGAGGGCTCTAACGATAGCCACTTGTGATTTTCCAGCCAAATAAAAATCCATCACGAAAAAAAAAACTAAAAAAAATTTAGCAGCTGTCGGTCGAGTGCCTTAGAAATGACTGCAGTTTGAAGCTGGTTGCAGTTTTTTCATCTCAGATGTACCAAGTCTGAATGGAATAAGGTGTAAATTTCGTGTTTTATGAGCTTCATGAATATTCAAAAATTTTAACCTTTGTGGGGGAGGTACTTGAAGGAGTGGACCGATATATCCCATCTTCACACCAGGTCTTAAAAAATAATAATAAAAAAAATAATTAATAAAAATATTGTGATATATAATTTAATCTTAACCAAATTTTTTATAAGAGTTAAAATTATTCGAAATTTTGACCCTTTGTGGGGGAGGTACTTGATGGAGTTAACCGATATTGTCGATTTTCGCACCTGACCTAGTACTGTTGCAAATATTAGGATTTGCAAAGTTGGAGCAAAATCGAACTAATGAAGTGACCCTAAGGGTATAAAAATCATGTACGACAAATACTATTCTGACATTTAGTTGTAGAGACATTCATGGAAAAATTTGTTTGGCTTGGAAACGCATAGCTCTCTTTCAAAATATTGAGCATAGTTCTTTGAACCAAAGAAGAACCCTAGACTCCCCATCAAGCCTCCATTGCTGCATATCATTTTACAAACTATGGACATGCGTCTCCAATCGCATATTAACTCTTTCCCTGATGCAATACAACATTGGCCATGGACGCCATTCAATCTATTGTCTCCAGTTCACAGCCCCTGCCCAGGTTGTAATAAATACTGGGAACAAATTTTGTGTTTTGGCCAATCGGTATTATACTGTACAAACAATACACCGAAATTTTTGATAACCTCAGGTAAAAGTTCATTAAACGGCATTCGACATTCAAAAACCATACAAGTGTATGCGAGTCAACAAAAAACAACACAAAATATCCAGAGTTCATCCTGTTCAAATTGGCCTAGAGATTCATTGTACGGTTCGATTTGAGGGGCCAATTACCTCGTTCTGACGCAAAATTTTTCCAATCGGGTACACAAATTAGGAGGAAGGTTAATTCGTTCGTATGGGCCTATATCAATTGCTAAGTGGTGTCTAGTCGTGTGTGGCGACAATAATGTCAATCATTTTTTTTCATGATTTGTTCTCTCACTCTCTCCTCAATTGCTTTGTTTATTATTATTAAATATTATTGCTGGAATATTTACTTGTTCGCTCTGTCGGCCGTCTAAATAACTCAAACCCATATTTGACAGATTCCTGCAATACAAGTATATGTTCTTGAATCTGAATAAATGTGTATGTCGATATGTTTTATGTTAAGAAAATTTGGATTTGAATTGAGGCAATTATGGTCTCCGACATGCTATGCCATACCAACGTGATTATAAGAGACGAATAGACCAAGACGTTTGAATTGAATTAATATTAGACAAGTTGGGGATCTTTGGGGATCGAATTAAATGAATTTTGAGGAAGATAAAAACACCCATCACATTTTTTAAAAATATCTTTCAATTTGAATCGCCACAATGTTGTGCTCTTCCCTATTTTTTCTGAATTTATTTATTCGTCTTAATTTACATGTTGACAAAAATCTCTTCCTCTCTCTCCCAGTTGTTTTTGCAGTCTCTGTGGCTATTCGAAGGTAAAAGTTCATCAGTCGACGAACTTATAAGCCATTGGACATGTCCATTGTTGTTTATTACCACCGACAAAGTAAGAATGTATGGCTTCATTGTTTTAATTGATCAATTACCTCGTTTTCAGTAACAACAACAAAATCAGCAAAGAAACCCAATTACCCACATCCTTGTCATTGGGACTGAGAATTGATATGAAAATTATGTCTAGTCTATTGTAATGATTTATGTAAATGACCGGGAATAGAATAACATATGAATGTATCAATTACAAATTGTAGATTGTAGTAATAATTATAATTACAATAGGAATCATAATAATAATAATAATAATAATAATAATAATAATAATAATAATAATAATAATAATAATAATAATAATAATGATAAAAATAATAATAATAATAATAATAATAATAATAATAATAATAATAATAATAATAATAATAATAATAATAATAATAATAATAATAATAATAATAATAATAATAATAATAATAGTAATAGTAATAATAATAATAATAATAATAATAGTACTAATAATAGTAATAGTAATAATAATAATAATAATAATAATAATAATAATAATAATAATAATAATATAATAATAATAATAATAATAATAATAATAATAATAATAATAATAATAATAATATAATAATAATAATAATAATAATAATAATAATAATAATAATAATAATAATAATAATAATAATATAATAATAATAATAATAATAATAATAATACTAATAATAATATAATAATAATATAATAATAATAGTAATAATAATAATAATAATAATAATAATAATAATAATAATAATAATAATAATAATAATAATAATAATATAATAATAATAATAATAATAATAATAATAATACTAATAATAATAATAATAATAATAATAATAATAATAATAATAATAATAATAATAATAATAATAATAATAATAATAATATAATAATAATAATAATAATAATAATAATAATAATAATAATAATAATAATAATAATAATAATAATAATAATAATAATAATAATAATAATAATAATAATAATAATAATAATAATAATAATAATACTAATAATAATAATAATAATAATAATAATATATATAATAATAGTAATAATAATAATAATAATAATAATAATAATAATAATAATAATATATAATAATAATAATAATAATAATAATAATAATAATAATAATACTAATAATATAATAATAATAATACTAATAATAATAATTAATAATAATTAATAATAATAATATAATAATAATAATAGTAATAATAATAATAATAATAATAATAATATAATAATAATAGAATAATAATAATAATAATAATAATAATAACAATAATAATAACAATAATAATAATATATAATAATAATAATAATAATAATAATAATAAAATATAATACTAATAATGAGTAATAATGATAATAATAATAATAATAATAATAATAATTAATAATCATAATAATAATAATAATAATAATAATAATAATAATAATAATAATAATAATAATAATAATAATAATAATAATAAT